AGCGTAGGGGCAGCGACGGCGCACGGGCAGCGGTGGCGCTCGGGAGGCAGCGGTGCGCAAGCAGCAGCGGAAGCAGCAGCGTACAAGCGGCTGCGGGCTGCGGGGCGTGTGCGAGCAGGCGACGGGCGGCTGCGGGGCGTGCGCGAGCAGGCGACGGGCGGCTGCGGGCGGGCTGCCAAGCTCTGCGACGGCGGGCTGCGGGCCTGCGGGGCGTGTGTGCGCAGGCGACGGGCGGCTGCGGGGGGTGCGCGAGCAGGCGACGGAAGGCTGCGGGGCGTGCGCGAGCGGCTGCAGGCAACGGGCGTGCGGCACGTGAGTGGCTCTGGCGGTGCGCGGGCCGGCAGCGGGCAGCACGCAGGCCGCGCGGGTGAAATGCGGGCTGCGTGGGTCGGTAGCGGGCGGTGCGCGGGCCGTTAGGGGCGATCGCAGGGCCGACGAGGCCGCTAAGGGGCGGGCGGCGGGGTCGTTAGAGGCGCTAAGGGGCGGCGCGACGGGGCCGTGAGGGGCCTCTAGGTCAAATGCGACGGGGCCGCGGGGCCTCTAGACGGGGCTCGATCGACGGGGCCAGCGGGGCCGAATAAAAAATAATGAAGCGCTCGAGGGCGCTACGGGGGAGGCGCTAAGAACGCGCTCCGGTAGTAGGTAGGTAGTAGGTAGGTAGGTAGGTAGGTGGGCCCGAAGGACGGTCCTAGCGAAGGACCTGCTCTGATACCATGTCAAGAATAACAGACTGGAATGACTGTACTAACAGAAGGCTGGATACAAATAGGAAACCCTAATCCAGTGTACCCCCTAAGGCGTAACCCACTACAGCCTACAACCATATAAACATATAATGTTTGACAATTCCCAGACTTACCACCCGGTTACGAACGTTACGAGCCGCTGGATAAGGTCTACAGCGACTTCAAGGTGCTTAGTCAACCGTTGCTTGACGGGGAGCAGTACACGCTTACCTTCATCGACGCTTCTACACGCTACGTTTGGGCCATCAACACCGACTGCAGGTCACTGGCCTTCGAGTGCTTTATTGCGTGGATGAAGCGGGCTGAGCGACAGTCTGGGCTGAAACTCAAGGCCTGGCAGACAGACGGAGCCCTGGAGTTCTTCTCAGACGAGTTCAAGGAACTCTTCAAGCAGAAGGGGAATGAACACCTGGTGTCCCTGCCCTACGCCCACCAACAGCAAGGCGTAGCAGAACGGACAAACAGGAGCCTCGCCACGCGGATGAGGGCCCTGATGAAGCAGTCGGCCATCCCAACCAAATACTGGCCGTTTGCGATGAATCACGCTGTTCGGCTGCACAACTTGATGTCCTCGCGAAGCATCAAGAACAACAATTCTCCTTACCGGGCATGGACGGGCAGAAAAGCAGATACACGTCTGCTTCGGGTGTTCGGCTGCATGGTACAGTACAGACCCCACACTGCGAGGACGGGAAAATTTGCTGACCGAGCACGATGGGGCATCCACCTCGGAATCGAAAAGGAATTCAAGGCGTGGATCGTGCTGGACTACGCGACACACGAGGTGACGAAATCACGTGACTGCATCTTCTACGAGAAGCTGACTCTGCCCCTCTTCAAGGAACGCCAGGAAGCCGACAAACTACCCGAGAGGCACTTTGAGGGCCACCGCAGTTTCGCCACGTCACACGACGAAGCTGACCTGGCCGAGGATGCAGACGCACCTGACGTCACTCCCATGGACTCTGCTCCGAACATCCCCCTTACGAGCCAATTCGGAACTCCGATATTCGTGCCCGTACACCAACCCGATCCGGACGATATAACACGCGAAGCTCATGACTACAACAGCGAAGCACGCCGATCACCCGATGCCGAGTTACCACAACCCAACCTGTCGCAAGACACCCTCCGCCTCGGCAACGACAGTGATGACGACGTGGTCGAAGTTACCAGCTTCCACGACTACGATCGCCTTCACTACGAAAAGACCAGCGAAACTGGTCTTCGCGTTCTCGGCCTCGCCGTCGCTGTCCGCCACACCTCGCCAAAAGAACCAACTACCGTCCGTCAAGCCCTGTCTGGTCCCGACAGTGACAAATGGAGAGCAGCCATGGCCGCCGAAATCGCGTCGCTGAAGAAGCGCGGTACCTGGAAGCTGGTCCTACGGTCGTCGGCAAAGGGGAGAAAAATTCTCAGCGGCAAATGGGTTTTTCGCATCAAAACTCTCGCCGATGGCTCGATCGACAAGTACAAGGCGCGCTGGGTGGTGCGGGGATTCGAGCAGACTCACCTGGTGGATTTCACTCTCACCTACGCTCCAGTCGGCCGTCACACCTCGATACGCATTCTCATCTGCATCGCCGCCGTCAAACAGCGACCACTCCGGCAAATCGACGTCGGCAGCGCCTTCCTATACGCTCCCGTCGACGCCAATATCTTCGTCGAACAGCCGCACGCATTCAAAGAAAATGACGGCGCCGTGTGCCTCCTCCAGAAGTCCCTATACAGAATCAAGCAAGCTCCTCGTCTGTGGCAGCAGTACCTCCATTCCGTCCTCCTTGAGCTCGGCTTCACTCAACTGCCGCATGACCTCGGAATGTATCGGCGGGAATCGCGCGGAAAGTTCATCCTCCTCGTCGCCTACTGTCAGAATCCCAGCCACTAACCACTGGGATAAAAGGGCTTGTTTGTGTAGCGGGTGAGTGCGCCCATAACCCCCCAGGCCAACGTGCCTGTAACCCTTCCCTAGGATCAATCGGGGATCACCAGTGGACCTCTGACACCCCCCCGCACTGGGATGCCCGAGGTGCACACACCGGGATTCGAACCCGAGACCTTTGCTCTGATACCATGTCAGAATCCCAGTCACTAACCACTGGGATAAAAGGGCTTGTTTGTGTAGCGGGTGAGTGCGCTCATAACCCCCCAGGCCGCCGTGCCTGTAACCCTTCCCTAGGATCAATCGGGGATCACCAGTGGACCTCTGACACCTACGTCGACGACCTTCTCTACACCGGCGACGACACGGAGCTGCTGGACCAGTTTGAGGCTGACATCAAGGAGAAGCTGGAAGTGACCATCAACCACAATGTCACTCAGTTTCTCGGCCTCAACGTAACTCAGTCCGCCTCCTCCATTCACCTCTCTGCCGCCAAGTACGCTGAGACCCTCGCGAAGCGGTTCGCCATCGCCCCCATCAACCTCGCCACCCCCTATCGCACTCCTCCTCCTAACCACGAGCCCGACACCACACCCCTCTCTCCCGACGACCATCGTCTCTATCAGCAGCAGCTGGGATGTCTCTTGTTCGCCGCCGTCACGTGCCGGCCCGATCTCTCCTACGTCGCAAGCCAGCTCGCACAGTATCTGAAGCGACCTGAAGGGGAGAATCTACTGGATCTACGCCGAGCACTGCAGTACTTCATCTCCACTCCCGACGTCGGTCTCACCTACGAAGCTAACCTCACCGCTACTCTGCAGCTCCATGGCTACGTAGATGCTGATCACGCTGGAGATGTTGACAACAGACGCTCCCGCACAGGATTCATTTTTCAACTCCAACCTGCTGGACTCATCTCTTGGAACTCCCAGAAACAGGAACTCATCGCCCTTTCGTCAGCTGAAGCAGAATTCATCGCAGCCAGCGCAGCTGTTCGCGAAGGACTGTACCTGATGGAGCTCCTGCAAGAGGCGAAGGTGACGATGAACGGGCACTTCACGTTACTCTGCGACAATCAGAGCGCGATAAAGATCGCAAACAAGCCCGGCTTCGTCAACCGCACCAAGCACATCGACCTTCGTTACTTCTTCGTGAAGGACGAAATCGACAAAGGGAGAGTCAAGCTGACGTATTGCCCGACCAGTGACATGGCAGCCGATTTCCTAACAAAGAAACTGCCACGTCAGCAGTACCAGCACTGCGCCGACCTCTGCGGGATCACCAAGAAATTTCACGTGGCCCACCTTCAGGAATGAAGGGGAGTGTTGGAATAACCGAAAGGTTATATAAGCATTCCTGAAGTTGTTTCACTGTACCAGTACCGCAATAGCTCATATAGAGCACGCGGAATGTCGAGGGTCACCCGAAGGTCAACCGCCTAAGGAAGTCAACGGTCGTGACCCTTGACGATCCAGTAACCGCGCGACAGTTAACTGACTGCAACATGGTAACTGTCGAGGATAGCAATAGTCGCGGTTACTGTAGCTATGCAATACAGTTAATAAGGGAATGTACCCCTCAGAGTACATGGCTAGTTAGATCTTTATTTAATCCCTTGTACTCCTATCATTCAATCATCTTGTTCTCCTTCATTATTATTCAACAAGGTCATTACAGAGACTCCACTGTCTCCTCTCAGACTTAACAGAATCTATCCTATCCACTGGATCCTTTGTTGTATCAGCAGAAATAAAGCAGCAGCATGCAAAGGAGGTGGTGTTGGTGGGAACAGGTTTTTTTTATCATGATTGGGAAATGTAAGCTTGAAATGTGTACAACAATTGCCTCAATCCAGCAGGGTAACCTCGTTTTGGTTTCCTCGTTATTGTCCGCCAATCTCACTTGTCCCACCAGGTGCGTGTGTGCCTCATCCCCGCCAAAAGTCAGGAAAACGGTCAGACGAATGTTGGGAATCTCCAATACGCTGACGCCTGGGAATTGTCAGACTCCTCGAAACCAGATCGGATGACGTGTGGTTTTCCCGCCAAGAGCGACCAGCAGGGTTGGGGAACGTGTTGCCTCGTCTGCCAAGCGAGTCGCGATCTGACTTTGGGAGGGAGCGGGAGACCCCTTCCTGTGCCCTGCCTGATGTGAAAAAAAATGTTTTCCCTTGGTGCTCGTCGCCCATAAACTCCCAGGTCTTGCTCACTTGAATCATTCACCACTCACTCAGCCTAAGATTCAGGCAATCTCCTAGGAGAGTTCTCCCTTCCAGCTCTCCTCTTTCCAGGTGTTCTCAGACAAGCGCCTTTCATTCACAGGTGGTTCCTGCTAGCCAACTTCGCCTCGTCCACTTTAACTCACACTTCACCATGAGGGAAATCCTTCACATCCAGGGCGGCCAGTGCGGCAACCAGATCGGAGCCAAGTTCTGGGAGGTCATCTGCGAGGAGCATGGCATCGACCCCCTCGGAAACTACAAGGGGGACTCTCCCCTGCAGCTGGAGCGCGTTAACGTCTACTACAATGAGGCCAGCGGCGGCCGCTACGTCCCACGTGCCATCCTCATGGTCAGTGCTTCAGGCCATAGACGTCACCGTACAACTCATTCACACGGCATATATTGTACACCTGCCATCAACTTCGTCGTTCATGAATCTTTCTTTGTTTCGTTTTCTGTCCTAACGTGCTTCCTTGTTCCGGGTTCTGTACATGTTCCAGGATCTGGAGCCCGGTGTGATGGACAGCGTTCGCTCGGGCCCCTACGGCAAGGTCTTCCGTCCCGACAACTTCGTGTTCGGGCAGTCCGGCGCCGGCAACAACTGGGCCAAGGGCCACTACACCGAGGGCGCCGAGCTTATCGATTCCGTTTTGGACGTCGTCCGCAAGGAGGCCGAGAACTGCGACTGCCTGCAGGGCTTCCAAGTGTGCCATTCGCTGGGCGGCGGCACGGGTTCCGGCATGGGCACGCTGCTTATCTCTAAGATCCGCGAGGAGTACCCCGACCGCATGATGCTCACCTTCTCCGTGTTCCCGTCGCCCAAGGTGTCGGACACGGTCGTGGAGCCGTACAACGCCACGCTCTCCGTGCACCAGCTCGTCGAGAACGCGGACGAGTGCATGGTGCTCGACAACGAGGCGCTCTACGATATCTGCTTCCGCACGCTCAAGCTCGCCAATCCCAGCTGTAAGTTCCAGTCGTTCTATTGACGATAACAATAACATTAACAAATAATAAACCAACAGTTCACCAACCACGTTGATCTCACCCTTCTCTCCTGTTTCTATCTCCTCTGTGCGTCCAGTCGGCGATCTCAACCACCTCATCTCCGCCACCATGAGCGGCGTCACGTGCTGCCTGCGCTTCCCTGGCCAGCTCAACTCGGACCTGCGCAAGCTCGCTGTCAACCTCATCCCCTTCCCGCGCCTCCACTTCTTCATGGTTGGCTTCGCGCCGCTCACGTCCCGCGGCTCGCAGCAGTACCGCGCGCTGACGGTCCCCGAGCTGACGCAGCAGATGTGGGACGCGAAGAACATGATGTGCGCCGCGGACCCGCGCCACGGGCGGTACCTGACGGCGTCGGCGATGTTCCGCGGGAAGATGAGCACCAAGGAGGTGGACGAGCAGATGCTCAACGTGCAGAACAAGAACTCGTCCTACTTCGTTGAGTGGATCCCCAACAACGTCAAGTCGTCCGTGTGCGACATCCCGCCGCGCGGGCTCAAGATGGCGTCAACGTTCATCGGCAACAGCACGAGCATCCAGGAGATGTTCAAGCGCGTGAGCGAGCAGTTCACGGCCATGTTCCGGCGCAAGGCTTTCTTGCATTGGTACACGGGCGAGGGCATGGACGAGATGGAGTTTACCGAGGCGGAGAGCAACATGAACGACCTGGTGAGCGAGTACCAGCAGTACCAGGAGGCCAGCACGGAGGAGGACGCGGAGTACGAGGAGGAGGCTGAGCCTGCCATGTGAGCGGCGAAACGCCTCGTGCTTCCGTGTGTGGTGGATGCGAGAGTTACTGTCGGGTGTTACGGTGATAGATGCCATGGTGATGGCAGTCGTCACGGACAGGGCGGACGGGGAGCTTGTCGCTTGCTCGAACGCCTTGGACGCGGTGACTTACAGCGTTGCCAGGATAGTGGGACTGGATATTGGCGTGGATGATAGGAGTGTACAGCCCAAACAGAGCGGTGGCAGTAGCTTCTTTGGTTGATCCTTCGACTATGGTTCGACCCTTGCCTTCTCTGTGCGCGATGCTTTTCCTTTTCATATTTCTCTTTCGTTCATTTGTCTTGTAGAGTCGTAGATTCAAACAATGTTTATGTGACAAATACTTCCAATGCTGTTTTTCCAACCATTCGCTCAAACACCACTGGTAAATGATAATGCTTCAGGCAGGAGTGGAAGCACGATGTGTGGCGGGTTGACATGACAAAACCTCCTGTTGGAATTCTCTTGTGACCTGGGCAGTGCTATCCTTGTTTGCTTATTTCATTTCACTAATGTTTTTCCAGCTAGCTCGAATTCAAAGCCCCACTGATGGCAATGGTTGGAAGTGTGGGACCTGTCAGTTTCCACTATACATTCTTGTTGGTTGGGTTACTTTGTAGAGGGCACAGATTTGGTACATACTGCCGGACTGCGCTAGGTTAGGTCCGACTTCGCTAGGTTAGGTCCGACTGCCGAACCTACTACCAAACCTACGACTAGGTTAGATTTGCCCCGCTGCTCCACGCCTCAATCGCCGCTACCCCACTGCCCTCCTGCCCACACGCCGCCGCGCTGCCCTGCCCGCACGCCGTCGCACTGCCCTGCCCCTGCGCGTCGCGCTGCCCTGCCCGCGCCTTCGCTCTGCGCGTGTCGCGCTGCCCTGCCCATGCGCATCGCACTGCCCTGCCCCGCACGTCGCGCTGCCCTGTCCCCGCGCAGTCGCGCTGCCATACCCCACGCCGTCGTGTTGCCCACGCGCCCTACGCGCCCTGCTGCTCACACGCCCTGCTGCCCTACGCGTCCCGCGCGCCCTGCTGCTCGCGCGCCACGTGCGCCCAGCTGCCCGCGCACTGCCCTAGCTGCCCGCGCGCTGCTGCCCGCCCTGCCCATACGCTGCCTTGTGCGCTGCGCGTGGCCGCGTACGCTGTCGTGCCCGTGTGCTGCCCCGCGAGCCACCCCTGGACGCCCCGCTGTCCTGCAGCCGCCGCTCCTGCCACAGCTGCCACTAGAACAGCTACCGCGATCACTCCAACTGCTGCTACACCTGCCTCTGCTGTTGCTATAGGCACCCGCTGCAGCTACAGCTGCCACTGCCGCCCTTGAGCTGCTGCTTCTGATTGCCGCTGCCCATCATGGTTTTTCTCCCACTCTTACCGTAAACGCCCGGATATAAGACAGTGTTGAATAGTAGACAGGGGTTGTCTACTATACGGGTGTCTCTTATAAACAGGCTAGCCTCATTATAAGACACCTATTTGTGTGTACGAGATAAGACATATATGTCTTATAATCGAAACTTCAATATATTATAGCGAAAGTTGAAATAACGCGTACATTTTTACCCTTGCGAAGCGCGAATTTCTCCACGCGCTGACCCAGGACCTACCAAATTTGCCTCTGCAGGTGTTCTCCATGACGTGGCGTCCCGGGCAGTGGTTGCCGAAGTGGCACCTTCGCAACATCCACACTCATTATGAGGAACTCTTTTTCAAGAAGTACGGAAAATATTTCTAAGTAGTTTAAAAAGTTTCCATTTATAAGATTTATAAGACACCCTAAAGCATCCCGTTTACAAGATAACTCAAGCATTTTTGCCCGTGTACGAGATAAGACATATATGTCTTATATCCGGGCGATGACGGTAGCGGTTGACGTAGACCAGGCCCTCAGATATCAGGAAAAAAACCCTGAAATTCCTGATTTTCAGGGTAAATTTTTGTACCTACACTGATTTTTCAGTGTTCAGATTTTAGAGGGACTCATTTTTCAGCCTTTTTTTCTCTAAGGGGACTGATTTTCCAGCCTTTTATCCAGGCCCTCAGAAGTCAGACTTTTTACTCTGATTTGGACTTTTTTCTCTGATATTTCAGATTTTTTTTCCTGTGTACTCTGATAAAATCAGACTTTTTTGGGCCTCAACTCTGTAATTTTCAGACTTTTTTTAAGGCTAACTCTGAGAGTTCAGAGTTTTCTGAGAGTGTACTCTGATAATTCTGAGTACAAACGCGTCCTTGACTGCTGATTCGGACTTGCGGATCACATCAGATTCGCATTGTCAACGCAAAATCGCATTGACACAGCAAATCCGAGTCTTACAGCACAAGATTTTCGGCCAATCATAGGAAAAATCGCCCTGACACAACAGATTTGCGCTGTCAGAGTACAACAATCTTCGCCCAATCACAGCAAAACCGCCCTGACATTGCAGATTCCCCCATTCGCACCACAAGATTCGCCCTGACACATATGTTCGCCCTGTCAGAGCATGTTTCGATAGCAGATGAATGAAACATTGAAAACACTTCCGATGAAACATTGAATACATTGATTTAGAATGATCAGACTTTTGTTTAAAGGCACTCTGAAATTTCAGCCTTTTTTCTATACCAGGTCTGAGATTTTCAGACTAAAACTGTGTACTAGTCTGACGAATCAGACAGGCCAAAAACGAATCTGAGGGCCTGCTTTTATCGAAGCGTACACTGAATGCACATTCAGAATCCCTGTGTCAGAATGAACGGACTGGAATGATTGAACTAACAGTGAAATCAGTACAAGTACCTAACCCTAGAATTGTGTACCCCCTATAGGCTAACCCACTGTAGCCTAAACAAACACAACATATATAATGTTTGACACATCCCCATAGGCAAAGTGGGGGAGAGCAAGGGGTCACAAGACCAGTCAAAGCAAAGGAAAACAAGCTCGGGGTGGATCTCAAGGATACCACACAAATTCCGAGCACAAGCTAGTGGTCACAAGACCAGTTCACATGCAGGTTGATAATATAACAAGAGATACAGTGATCACAACCTAGCAAGTGTAAGCATGCAGGCATATATATAAAGATCACAGTACAAGCAGAGTCAAGAAGTAAGTAAGTGAGGTCCAGCAGGCACAAGGCCTAGAAGAGTACAGAAACGCTGATGGTCACAAGGCTGAAGCGCCTTGGTGAACACATCAGCAAGGTTGGCCTCAGTGGCCACGTAACGCAGACAAAGCTGACCACGCTGCTGCAGCTCTCGAGCAAGGAAGTACCGCAGGGCGATGTGCTTCGTTCTGTGCTCCAGTCTGTGCTCCTCACACAAGGCAATGGCAGCCTGGTTGTCGACGTACAGCACTGGAGGAGAACGAGGCCGCTCTCCCAAGTCGGTCAGCAGGTAGGTCAGCCAGCGTAGCTCCTGGGCAGCCATGGCTGTGGCGTAGATCTCAGCCTCACAACTGGAGCTGAGAACAGAAGAAGAGCGTGTAGAACGCCAAGAAACTGAGCCGGAGCCAAGGCTGAAGGTGTAACCCTGAGACGACCGCTGAGTAGCCTGGTCGTCCGCCCAAGAAGCGTCTGAGTGTCCAGTAAGTACAACTCGGTCTCGCCCTCCAAGCACTAGCCCCATGCCCGACGTACTGCACAAGTAGCGCAACACCCTCTTAGCGGCATCTATGTGCTCCTTCCTGTGACGGCCAGGAGCGACATAGCGTGCAAGGATGCTAAGAGGGTATGCAAGGTCAGGTCGAGTGCAGGTCATCAGGTACATGAGGCAGCCCACAAGCTCTGGATACGGGCCACTCGGCTCTACGGACTCATCCGAAGGCAGAGCTGAGAGCGAGTGACCGGTAGGCAGAGGAGTGGACTGAGGCGAGGAGTACGTGAAGCGGAAGCGCTGAAGGATCTGCTGCACCATGTGTGACTGAGTCAAGGTGATGGTGCGCCGTGCTCTGTCCCGGGTGATCCGCAAGCCAAGATAGCTTGTCAGTTCACCCAGGTCTGTGCACGTGTGTCTCCTCTGCAGCTCCGACTTCACGTGGGCGAGTGCCGCGGTGTCAGCAGTGGCAAAGACCTGTCAGAATATTATGCTCTAGCCTGCAGTGGGGTGCTCTATAGCGAGTACAACCCTTCTAGGGTTAGCTATTTGTACCACCATTGTTGCTAGTGCAAACCCTCCTTTGCTATTAACATTCTCTCTTGCCTAGCTAGGTCAACCCTAGCTATGGCTCCTGCTTATGCTTACTCTAATGACATGGTATCAGAGCTTAACGTTCCTGGCCTGTGGGCCCACTTCACTGCTTCCGCTGCTACTGCTACTCCCTGTCCGCCGCGCGCCCCGTGGTGCGCGGCGTCGAAATTAGGGTTTTCATCCCGCCGCGCGCTCGGAGCGTGCGGCGGTTTTCTGCCCGCCGTGCGCCCCGAGGCGCGCGGCGGTTTTCTGCCCGCCGTGCGCCCCGAGGCGCGCGGCGGTTTTCTGCCCGCCGTGTGCCCCGAGGCGCGCGGCGGCTTTCTACCCCGTCGATCCGCGCGTCGCCCCCGGGAGGCGCTGCGACGGGCGACGGGGACCCGCGCGTCGCCCCCCGTCGCCCGTCGCGGCCCGCGCGACCTGCGTAGGGCCCGCGCGCGGCCCGTACAGCCTGCGCGCGGCCCGTACGGGCTGCGCCAGGCCCGCGCGCGGCCCGTACGGGCTGCGCCAGGCCCGCGCGCGGCCCGTACGGGCCGCTCCAGGCCAGCGCGCGCCTCGGGCCGCCCGCGCGCGTCGTATGGGCTGCGCCAGGCCAGCGCGCGCCTCGGGCCGCCCGCGCGCGGTTCGTACGGGCTGCGCCAGGCCCGTGGGTGCCCCGTTTCCTCGTCCCTTGAGCTGCACGCTCTCCCCCGAGCTTCTGACGGCGCCCCACCCGTGCTCCTGAATTAGGGTTTGGGGGTGGAGCGTATGGGGGTGCCGTCTCTGTCAGCCGTCCCCTGCTCCTCCTCCTCCTCCGTCTCCCACTGCTGCAGC